TTATGACTAAAACTTATAAGTTTGACTTTTATTCTCGTAATTATGACTAAAACTCATAAGTATGACTGTTATTCTCATAATTATGATTTTAAACGTCAAATTTATGACTTTAAAAGTCGAAATTATGACTTCCTGTTGGGCTTTTATTTCTTCCTTCATGGCGGAAACGGGCTTCCATATAAAACAGAGTCATTAAAGTACAAAGTAAAACAAATGCAGAACACTAGCTAAAAAGTTACAGAAACAAAATCCAAGCTAAAAATCAATAGTAACAAGTTAAAAGTAGAAGAATGGACACTAAAAGTAACATAAAAACACAAAAATAAATAAATAATACAAACACTTTTTTATTGTTATCTTCTGCTACTTATAGATTTAGATATGATTTTAAAACTTTTGGGTTTGAGCTAGGTTTTTGCTGCTTTTAGCTTTTAATTGTTGTTTACCTCCTTTAGCTTTCAGCTAGTGTTCTGCTTCATTTACTAGCTGTACCCAGTTTTAGCTTCTTCAGCAGATTTCAGCATTCACTCACTCAAGCTGCACTGAATCTCCACAGAAGACTGAAGCATCCATCATCCTTGTGTGCAAAATTGAATTCCGAAGTTCTGATAATTAGACCGATAAGTTTATAAACGATAAACAAAGGTGTCTACTTGTATGAGCTTAATGATGAATAAATGGTGAGATTTAGTCCCACATGAACAAAATATAACTCTGTTATTAAATTCCCAAAAATGTTTTGCAACCATCTGAGAGCCTTGTTACCGAGTGAATAAAACATGGAGACTGTTTTGAGAGCAACACAATAATTATATTTCTGCAGTGCATGAACACATGAATGAATGGATTGAATTGCAGCTCCGTCTACTGTTACAGCGCTCCACTCGAGGCTCACTCCGACGCCGTCGTTTGTGTTTTGTTTAAATATTATTCGCCGTTCTATGATGTATTTTGCTGCTGCAGCCTTCTGATCGGACGGGCCCTGAGCTACAGTGTCTCTGATCTTCAGAGGGGGAACCACGTTCACAACGTTGTAACCAGCCTCACCATATTGAACACGGCCATCACCAGGATGAGAGCGGTGGTTGTCATGGTGAGGACCAATCGCAGCCAGGGGTTGTTGGTGACAATGCTGCGAGAGGAAGTGGAGAGCCATGGGAAGGAGCAGAAAGAGCCCTTCCCTCTCTGCTGTGGAAGCAAAGAAACAGAAAGAGTGACCAGAGGATAAAGGAGGAGAAAAGAACAAACATCCCACAGCTGCTAAAGAAACCTTTTACTTCTTTCCCCTTCTACAGATAAAAACAAACATTTTAAAGTGAAGCAGTTAAAGCCTCACATTTCTTTAAGGAATGCATATCGCCTGCCGTCTTTAAACCAGTGTTTTAAACTATGACTTTGTGTTGAGAAGGCTGGATTTATAGCTGTTTCAGTCAAACCTTGAGGATGTTGTGCATCTTCTACAGCAGAGGTGTCCACACTTTTTCAGCCTGCGAGTTACTTTTAAAATGACCAAGTCAAAGTGATCTACCTGCTGTAAGATCCTGTTTACACAAGAACAACCTCTGGAAACATTAGTGTTATATGTTTATTGGGGGTAAATACACAAAAAATTAGTGGGTTTACATGAAAAACGCTGTAGTTTCCATGTCAGTCGGGTTGCCAGATAAGAAATTATGAACTATAGTAGTGTGGCGTTAAAATTATAGTATTTGAACCTAAACTGTCATATGTGCTGAGTAAAGATATTCTAAGATGAGGTGTGTGTTGTGTTTGTTGAACATGTGCACATATAAGGAGGAGTAAATAGGATGTTTTAAATTTATCTGGCAACCCTGATGCCGGGCTCAGCTGCATTCATCGTGCATGCAGCGTTTTATATTATAGTTAGTCCAAACTGGTGAAGATACTAACGTCTCTTTGGAGCCTGGATTTGATTAATTTTGCTCCTTCATGCTGAAAAAGGGTGAGCAGCACAAAAACACTCTGCTCTCTGACATTTATTATAACTGTTGTTACAGCAAGAAAAACTTTAGACTGCAGCCACCTGGATGTGCATGTGCAACTTCATAGCTGGAGCATTTCACACCTCCGAGGGGGGGGGTTCCCCCAAAAACCTCCACTCTGAGACCTGGACTCAGAAACCTTCAGTTTCAGAGAGAAGGGCGACTGTTGTCTGAATGAACGGCTGAACGTTTCACATCGTGTAAACGGGGCATCAGACTGGCTGCCCCGTCTGTCAATCAAGAGACAAATTCATAGAAGGATGATAGGGAGACGTCTATTTTTTAATGCCATGAGAGCTATCCATAATACCTTTGAGGTCACTGGTAGATCACGATCATAGTATTGGGCACCCCTGTTCTGCGGTACTGTAAGACCTGGAGAGATGCGTTGACACTCAGAGAACATGTTGAGGATGACTCTCTGCTACTACCACACCACAGTTTACCTCAACATCTATAAAATTGGCTGTTAAAGTCATTTTTGTGTTGGCTAATGTTGATGAACTGGATTGATTTGAAATGTTACTGAGTGTTACATCCAGTGATGACGTGTTGAGCTTTTCGTTATTCATCTGCCGGTTTATGAGATATTTTGGCAACACTACAGTTAAAAGTGAATAGTTTATAGAAAATGTCCAACTTTTTAATGTTACTGAAAAGTCGGGGCTGGCCTCCCTCCAGCTATTAATGTGTCAGATTGTGTCTCTCCTTGTTCCACTTCCAAATTATTTTCCCAACGATTAGTTTGACGGTTTCTTCTCGTTTCTCACGCTGCAGCTCAAACTCAACCATATTCTCACACTCGGCTTCTCTAAACGGGCAGAACTTTCAGACAAGCGAAGAACATTTGCAGCAGTGAGGACATGAGTAAAGCAGACGTTTCTCCTACTTGGTGCTAAAAAGGAACCGTCCTCGTCTTTTGTAAAAGATTTATAATCGATCCTTTCAGCGGTTTGAGGCGGTGCTTCGTTCTTGATATTTTCCAAGAAAACACGTTTGATCACAGTAACCGTGTAATGAACTCCTTCACGGAACGAACAGAGAATGTTCTTTAGCAATAATCTGCCTCATTTATACCGATGTCTGTGAAGCCGAGCGGATAAAATGCAGACGTGCATTCTCATTAGTCAATTAGGCGCTCTTTCAGGAGTGGCCACGGCGGCTCTCGCAGTCAGTGTTAAATTGATTTACAAACTCATCAAACCTGATCTTTTGTTCCTTCCTTCTGCTCATCATTAAGCCATGTGCAACACTGACATCTGGGTCAGAACAGAGCCAAGGTTATTGATAACCCCCTCAGTAATTAAGAATGACCCACTTACTGAGTGATAACACTCTCAGGAGGAGGAAGTGGGAGAGATCTTTTCTTGAGTGTCCACATTTCTCATGAGACAGGCACCTGTGTCAGCATGAACATATAACCCATCAGTCCATACTGGAAATAAATCAATCCTTTCTTGTTCAACTATAAAAGCACTGATATTTATTTAAGCAGCTAAACCATAAAACTACAACACAGGGCACAGAGTTATTAGTAAAAAGAACATTGTGACTGATAAAGTATTTATAAAGGGGCTAGAGTGTTTACATTTATATTTCTATGAAACAGAGATTAATGTTTGCTCTTGTCAGCTTTATTACTGCTGTTTTTCCCCATGTCTGTGCTAATTTCTTTATTATGTCAGCAAAAATACTTCACTTCATCAAACACTGGGTGCATTTTCAGGAAACTTTCACAAAAGTAATCCTCGGATGTAAATCAGCAACTGATTAACTTTTAAAGTTGGCCTAAATCAAGATGGCTGTCACAGCCAATTGAAGGTAGCATGCATAGTAATGGCTCGATCAGCTTTACAGCTGCTGAACTGAACTGTGGTTGGTTACAGCTCAGAGGCATCCCCAACACACACTTTCCATTGATCATTGGAGTCAACTGAGTTATGAGTCATTGTTAGCAAAATTAGCAAAGCAAGCAGTTAGCAAAAAATGTCATGAACTACTGGACAGATTTTAACTTTTTTTTTTAAATTTCACTGAAAACTTGGATGTCTGGTGATACAAGCCCAAAGCAGCCATGGTTTGGGTGATAGTACCATAGACAAGGTTCTTCTAACAGAACCTGAGTAATGCTTTAATGTAGGAGAGTTGGATTTAATCCCACAAAGATTTTATGCCATGGTTCATATAAAGTATAGTCAAATTTTAGCCTAGAGTTCACCCCAAAATAATTCCCTAAAACGAGTGAGAGAGTGAATGGTTGTTTGTCTCTATGTGGCCCTGTGATGGACTTGCGACCCGTCCAGGGTGTACCCCGCCCCTCGCACAGTGATTGCTGGACATGGGCACCAGCGACCCCCGTGACCCAAAATGGAATAAGCGGGTAAAGAAAATGGATGGATGGATGGATGGATAAACATACTTCACTAACAGGTCACTTCAGCGCTCACTATGTGTTAGACTAGGCATCACGCTGCCTTTTATTTGTACAGAGAAGTCTGAATTTCTTGGTTTCAAGTCCTAAAAATTCCACAGGTACAAATCCTGACAAACCTTGACCTCAGAATACAAGATAGTAAAATAAAAATGAAAGTTGTGATAGCTGATGTAATAAACTTATTGCATCTTGATCAATTTATGAGCATAGTACGTTCAAACCATCATTGGTGGCATTAGCAGCCATTTGTTTAAAAGAACGCTAAAAAAATTCAATGTTATTGGTTTGTATTGCAAAAAGAAGTTAGCCTGGTTGCTGGGCACAACCATTAGTGATCCTACTGGATTTCCAAGTTGCAACTAAATCAGTTAAATTGGGTCTGACGTTATTCCCAGATCCAAGTTCTGATTGTGAAGTTAAACTAACAGAGAAAAGTAGAAAGAAAAGTATAATGAATTCAAAGACTCAACAATGAATCTTGAACAACCAAAGATTTATAAGTCAACTGATGGGCCAATGAAAGATTCAATATGTGAGACGATTGAGTGCAGTTTTATCTGTTCCTGCTCAAAAAATGAAAACAGACTCACACTGACGGCCAATTAATTAATGAAAGGTTGTGGTTGTGTCTCGTGATGGTACAAACACTACGATGTGTCCAGAGGGTAAATCTGACTTAAACCTTGTGAGCTTCTCAGTCAGTGGTTTCCACAGTTTCAAAAGACCGAATGTGGAGATTGGCAGAGAATGTATGAAATCGTTTATTCATGAGACACAGCTCAGGACTCTAAATGCAGTTTCCAGAGAAGGGGTTCGTTTTGTGGAATATTGAGATGGTATTTATCATATATACCGTACGGGAAATCTTTGATCTGCTCAGAAGCAAGTGGTAACAAGTATAAGGTAGGTGAAAATAATGTCTCAGTAGCACAAGGATGTATGTGCAGCCAGATTTTCTACAATAAAAAAAAACATTATGCTTAAAATATACATATTTTAAAGGTTTCGGTAGAGACTGAAAGAATGAGATCATGGATACAGGCTTTACTCCTTAGAGATAGGGTGGAGGAGAGACTCGGAGTAGAACTGCTGCTCCTCCACATCGAGAGGAGCCAGTTGAGGTGGTTTGGGCATCTGGTAAGGATGCTCCTTTTGTGCCTCCCTAGGGAGGTGCTTCAGGCATGTTTGACTGCGAGGAGACCCCGGGGAAAACCCAGGACACACTGGAGAGACCATGTCTCTCAGTTGGCCTGGGAACACCTTGGAGTCCTCCCAGAAGAGCTGGAAGAGGTGGCTGTGGAAGGAGATGTCTGGACCTCCCTGCTCAAGCTGCTGCCCCCGAGGCCTGACTTCAGAACAAGTGGAACATAATGGATGGATGGAGTTGTTTTAAGATGGCAGTGATGATACCTGCCGATCACCCAGTTTGGGTGGGACAGTGCCAGAATTTGTCCTTCCTGTTGTTAGACATGTCCTCAAGTTGAACCTGGTATGGCCTTGCCTTGCCCACCCAGAAGACTGACCTTGGTTCTGTCTCTGACTGGACACTTCTGGTTCTATCTGTTCAAGGATCAGATGTCCCAGATCCAATCCCTAATATGGAGTAGTTTTCTCTTTTATTGCTCACAGATGAACACGTTAGATAGTTTCATCACATCCACTGTTCTCATCAGATAAACCAGCTATGACCGGTTTGGGTCTACACATAGTTAGCTTACTGATCCAGGCAGGTTGTACTCCATCCCATGTTAAGGGCGGAGTCGAGAGTCGATTAAAACTGAGGTACTTCCGTAACTCGGGGCTTCGACATCCGGACCGCTCGTCGAGCCCAGCGCTGAAGGCCGGTAACTTTTCCTGCCTTAATAGAAATTAAATGGTAAAACTTAATTTCTCTCAGCCGTTATTCGTATCGGTGCGAGTCTTCTTTCCACCTGGGAAATAAACGAGCCGGCATTGAACGCCGTGGTCGAATGGCAACACTGTCCCTCGTTAAGTATAAAGAGTGGCAGGAGTGCCTCTAATGTTCCGCATTTGACCAGCTCTGACTTGGCTGACCTGTTTTATGTAAACCATGTCACATCTGTGTGGAAGGAGGTATACAAAGGGGCTGTTTAAGGGCTTTCTACTACAGCAGGTTGATGCCACCATAATAAACCCAAAGCACAACTTCTCAGCTTTCAGAAACCACTGGAATTTTTTGATAGCACAAATTGTTGTGAAGTCACAATAATGCAAAGCGAGCTTGTGAAAAACATTTGTCATCGGGGGATAAACTTCATTGATTCAGCCGTCAACCATAATTCATTACAATGAAATAATTTTGCTTATTACATTAAATATTGTTTGAGGCATTATGTGTGTTTGTGTGCTTGTGGTGATGGGGGTCATTTAAAAGTCTAAAGGTTCAATGAAAAGTGAGCATTCTAATCTTTGGTTGCTGCAGCCATCATTAATGGACAAATGGTGAACTCATGACTGGCAGACACAGATATGGAGTTTGTGGGGCAACTTTTATTTTCTGTTTGTATGTGTGATACTATCTAACTAGCAGATTTCTCAGGGTAGGTTATGTGGTGCTAAGGATTCTTTGTGATAAAAGTACAAAGTACAATATAATGCAGTCAAAACAAACTCATTGTGCTCAGTGAGTTAATAAAAACAAGAGTTTTCCAGTATGAGCTCAGATAAAGTTAATCTTAAATGTTACTTACGATAGTTTTATGAGAAATATACTTTGTATATAATAATAATAATGTCATCACATTGTCATCACTGTATGTTTCCATACAATGGCAAAATTAGTTTATGCATTTAACCCATCCACCACCAGGTGGAGTAGTGGGCAGCTATTGAGGGTGCCCACGGGGCATTTTTGGGGATAAGGTGTGCTGCCCAGAGATACCACAAGGTGTGCAGTGACTGGGGATTGAACCTGGGACTTTCAAGTCCCAAGCCGGCTGCCCTGCCTTTACACCATCTTGGCCCACATTATATAGTATTCTGATCTTGTTTTCTTATTAATCACAATAATTTAGATTTCTCTTGAAATAGCTGGAAAAAACAGATGCATCTAAAAAAAATAGAATTTTATAAAAAAGTTTTTTTTTTGTCAATCGTTTCAGAAAATAAAACTCATATTGCATAGATTCATTACACACAGAGTGAAATATGTCAAGCCTTTATTTATTGTAATTTTGATGATTAGATCTTACAAATAATGAAAAACCTAAATTCAGTGTCTCATAAAATTAGAATATTCCACAGCCAGCTTATACCTTTGTCAGAGTGGGCTGGTGCCGAGTCCTACTGTAAAATGAAACCAGCATCTCTAAAGCTCGTCAGCAGCAGGAAGCATGAAGAGCTCTAAAATGTCCTGGTAGATGCTGCGTTGACTGGACTTCAGAAAACACAGCAAGCCAGAACCAGCAGAGGACATGGTCTCAAACCATCACACTCTGTGGAAACTTCACTCTGGACTTTGACAATGTGGATTCTGGACCTCTCCATGTTCCTCTGGACTCTGCGACCATGATTTATGAATCTTTCATCTGAACAGAGGACGTTGGACACTGAGAGACAGTCCACTTCTTTGTGTCCTCAGCAGGTAAGACACTTCTGATGTCGTCTCTGGTTCAGGAGTGGCTGGACTTGAGGAACGAGACATTTTGTAGCTCGTGTCTAGGAGTTAATCAGCAGCTCAGGCTGTGACACCATGAAGTTGACAATATTCAACTTCTTCACAATATTATCCTCTTTTTTCATTATTTCTAAACCATAATCATCAAAATTACAATAAAAGCTTGAAATATTTCACCCTATGTAATGACGAGTTTCATTTTCTGAAGTGATTGACAAAAAACAAAAAACAAAAATTTCCACAATATTCTAACATTTTTGGTAGCACCTGTTCATAGTTTTAATAGGATTATTTATTTATTTAGTTTTCTGGGAGAGCATTACCCTGTGTTGTTGGTACTTGTTAATACATGTAGGTGTCCTTTGTTGCCATCAGGGAATGTTGACTGTGGTTCAGTTGGTTTTGGCCCAGCTCAAACTAACAAATAAATAAGTTGATCCCGTCAGAATTACACTCCAAAAAAGACTGCCATCCTCAACATAATGATTTGAAAAAGTACATGCCACTGTACACGTCGCACCGCCGTATAAGTCACATCAGTCCAAATATGTCTAATAAAGTGGGAAGAACCATAAATATGTCGCTTCACTGTATAAGTCGAATCTATTATGTGTCACCACTGACGCGTTGCGTTTGTTATGCGTCGCGGCTGACCACCTGAAAATGTGGGCCGGTGTTGTGCCAAAAATTGATGGGCTGCCAAATGGCGGCCGCAGGAGTGTGCACGGGAGGACTTTAATAAGAATGTAACAAGATTAACACTTAAAAAACTATTTGTTTGCTTGAAATTATAGTAAAGGCGTGTCTAACTTTTCCTTAATTATTGAATTGGATTGTGGAATGATCAGGCGAGTGATGTTAAAAATGCCAAATCAATGTGTACGTTTAAGAAAATGATCAAAGTTGAATTGTTAAAAAAATATATGAAATAGTTTAATGTGTGTTGTATGAACTGTCGCTCAAGAAGGAGTTATTTATTTTGATTTGTTACTTGAAGCTTATTATTGTTTGAATTAATTGATGGAAAAAGGGCAGATATAATAAGATTTATTTCTTCCTTCTGCTGCCTTTCATTTTGTTTTTAATTGCATTTCTCATTGTTTATGGAATTGTTTTGTTTTGTTTTTAAAAAATGAACAAATTTATAAATACAAAATAAAATAATAAATGCACGTTGACGGTCAATCAGCTGCATTTCAAAAGCTGATTCGCGGCTGCTGGAACACGCAGCGGGAAGACTCACTGTGCATTTTTGCAAAATTTATCAAGATAACCATCTAAAAACAATTATTTGTTTGCTCGACATTATATCAAAGGTGTGTCTCAGTTGAACTTTTCCTTAATAAATGCACTTTAATGGTCAAATCAGCTACATTTCGCCTGGGTGGCGCGGTGAAATGCAGCTGATTTGACGTTTGCTCCAGGAGTTCAGGAGCGAGACAGAGGTGGCTTGGTATGGCAAGCCAAGTGGCTCATTAATAGCCACTTTTACCTATTAATAACAGACTTGGCTTGCCCTATTACTTGGGCGCCCTCTAGCGGCTGAAAATGGTAGTGTTCAATATTTTCCATGTCAGAATGAATGAAATCATCAGATCAAATATTGAATTATAAATATGGGAGGAAAAAAGCAAATAAGTTGCTTCGCTGAATAAGTCACATGGCATGCTAATTGCAAAAAGGTGCAACATATGCAGCGAAAAATACGGTAATTATGTTTTACTCACATAAGTATCTTCGTTACCCTACTTTGATGAGGCGTTTCACAAACTTTTACAAGTCATATTGGTGTGTGGATTAACGTGCGTGCGTGTGAGCGGTATTCATTGTTAATCCCAGCAAACCCACCAGAATGTGACTAGCGAAGCAGAGCAGCAGGATCAAAGCCAACAACAGGAACGTCAGGCCAAAGGAGATCCCGAGCACAGCGGTTCTGGAACACACAAACACACACTGTAGTGCCAGCCAGGTCCACATACATGTAATAAGATCCTGCTGTGTTCTAGTTCTGACTTGCCACCCATTTACACTTAGCACAGTCACAAAATGAAAACTCTTAATATGTCAGATTGATTTCTCAGGACAACCTCTTCATATCAGATTTAAGGACGTCTGCCATTAAACAGATGATGTAATTTCCAAAAGCGCAGAGCAATGTAGCAAGGAACAGCATGAGAGAGAAGGTAGAATTAGAAAATCAATGGTCTCTCAGATGTGGAATTACACCTCTGGCTTGGAGAAGCAGTAAATTAGCATGACCGTGAATTTCTCTCCCCTCTGCTGAAGCGCCGCCACGCTTCGATTCATCTGATCTATAATCACGAGCAGACACGGTGCCCTTTCATCTCCATCGGCTTTTTAACATTCTGCCTCTTTTGCTTTGGCGAGGTCTTGTTGATGAGACAGCTGGCGTCAAATCGTTTTTTTTCACATCAGCCTGCCGCCACAGCTGGAGGCGGGCTGATGCTGCTGGTAGAGTGGAGTGGAAATCGGCGTGAAATGTGGCGCGGACTTACTTGGGCAAGACGAGGACCTGCACTACAAATATGCCGCAGAATATGAGGCAGGCGCAGGTGACGTAGTACTTGAAGGCAGGTAGTGTGGTGGATCTGTACTGTTGGGAGAAGACAGGTGAGATGGGTCCAGAATTCAAGTTACTGGGACATTAACACATTCATTCAAATTACCCAGTGTATCCAGCAGTCTTTAAATTTTGTATGCATGTTTGCATAATAGTAAATTAAAGTAGGCATAAAATGTAGCAACGACGAAAAGAGCACAAAGTTACGAGACATAAAGTTGAGCCTCTTTCTGCTAATTCGTCAGCACTGATTCATCACATCGATTTCTTTCCAGACTGCAGCTTTGTATGCATTCGCCTACCTCTTTCTCCAGAGCTTTGTTGTGAAAGAACAATGAGATCCTCTGGATGTCCTCGGATTTCATCCACTGTCTGGAGACACAAGAGAAGCAGACGGTAAAGAGGACCGGAAGTCCTTTCTCTTATTACAGGCTGTGATGGCGTAGGTGTTACTGTCTTCACCTGGTGCTGATTTTCATTTTTCTTTCTTTGGGAGAACATATAATAAAGATCATTTTGAGTACTTTGACAAGTACTTTTGTTTCTGTCAAACTTTACAGCAAGTTGAGTCATGAAAGGCTCTATAATTGACTGGAAAGATTCTGGTGGGTCAGGGTGTGGAGTTCTTGAAAAACATTGGGATTTGTGTAATCCTAATCTCAGGTTGGGTTAGCCAAAGCAATACACCCAACAAAGATCAGCTGCACCGTTTTAACCCATGTCCTTTGTTTAGATCCATCCAACTGCCTAAAACCACCCTGACTCACACCTAGAGACAATTTAGAGTTACCAATCAGATGTTTTTGGTCTATGGGAGGAAACTGGAGCACCTGGAGAAAACACGCAAACTCTACCCAGAATGACCCCTGGGACAGGATTTGAACCGGTGACCTTTTCGCTGAGAGGTGGCAGCTCTACCAACTGAGTAACTGTGCTGCCTGACTTTCATCTATAATGCTTGAAATTTCATGAACTTAACTAGAGAATTTGCATTTCCTGCCTTAATGCAATACAATATTAGCTGAAAGGAGCACAAAAAAGAGGAAACAGCAGAAAAAGAACTGAAAACCAGAAAATGTTTAAATTAGCAAAAAAATAAACTAAAAGTTGAAGAAATAAGCTGAATTTTGCAGAAAAAAGTTGGAGGAGTGTAAAAAGCTTAAATTAGCAGAAGAAAGCCAAAAGGAGCCAAAAAAGTAGCAAAAACGATCTGAAAAGATTCCAAACTTCTGAAATAAGAAGAAAAGTAGCTGAAAACACACTAAAAACCTTAAATTAGCAGAAAGAAGCTGAAGCGAGCACAAAAAAGACTAAATAAGTTACAAAGAAGCAGGAAAAAAAATCCCAGAAAAAGCTCTTATTAGCAAAAAACTAGTTAAAAATAGCTGAAATTGGCAGAAGAAAGCCAAAGAAAAAAACAGATAAAGCTCATCTTAGCAGAAAACATGCTAATAGTAGCTAAAATTAGCTGAGAGCGCAAGTTAAATTTAACAGAAAGAAGCTGAAAGGAGCAGAAAAAGTTTTTAAACAGCCAAAAGGGTTTGAAGAATGAGAGGTCCATTTCTTTTCGATGAGGAAAAAATGGCAGAAAAGCTAAATATATTTTTAAAAAAAGCAAAAATTGCACAAATACCTAAAATCATAGCTTGAATGAGCTGAACATTTTGTAATATGAATTGTTGAATTAGCACAAACATTGTGTAACAAGTTAAGTGCCAATAAAGTACAAAAAAATACAGGATCTCAATAGTGTGAATGCTTTATAAGCATTATGGCCATACCACCCTAAACACGCCCAATTTCATCTGATCTTGGAAGCTAAGCAGGGTCGGGCCTGGTTAGTACTTGGATGGGAGACCTCCTGGGAATAACAGATGCCGTAAGCTCTTGGGGGCCGAGGTGGTGCAGAGGTAGGGCAGTTGACTTAGGACCAGAAAGTCGCAAGCTCAACTCCCCACCATGCCCACAAGTCGTGGTGTCCCTAAGCAAGTCACCCAAGCCCTAATTGCTCCCCAGGCGCTTATAGCTGCCCACTGCTCCACCTGGTGTTTCTCACATGTGATGAGTTAAATGCAGAGAACTAATTTTGTCATTGCATGGGAACATACAATAATGACAACACAAATCACTTTACGCCTTATTGAACTAAGTTAGGCCTCCGTCATACTGAATGATCACTCTACTATGACATAAAAATCAGCCAGAACATGGGTGGGCTTTGCAGGGTCTAGACGACATCTTCAGGTGAGTATTAAGAGCACAGTGGGCTTCCCTTTACACGTAAAAGAATGTGATGAGTTGTAAGCATACACAAAACTTGGCACTACACCAAGGTATCAGAGTTTGAAGCAGGACCAGCCGTGTTAGCCTCATATCTAGGCTCCAACTATGACCATGACAAAGCCATGGAAACCACCTGGTACAGAAGTGATGCCTATAGTAACGGGGTTGTAATCTTATGTGAAGGAGGACCAAGAGAACATTTTCCCAGATTCAAACTTTCACTGTAGCATGGTACCCACAGATATCCTGATGCATGCTCAATAATCCCACAGGTACCCACAGATAACACTTGAAAGGGAAAATTCTAGAAATGTGCAAACTAAATTGATAACTAAGCAGTAACTTCAGCCAATTTGTAAAATACTTCTTATCGTCAGCAAACAGAAAGTCATTTCCACCCAGACTTACTGATGCAAAACCCTGTTAGTCATTTATATCTCACATACTTTATATTCAAAAGGGTATTTAGCTAATCTCTGGAGCACACTTCAAATCTGTGCTGGTTTTGAATGTAAACATGCATAAATGCCATTGGCTGCAGTCTGATTTTAAACAGTAGGACGCTCTTGCTATAAATCCTTAATTGAATTTTAGATTTCTTGCCCTTTTTTCTTCTTTATGTATAAATAGAAATAAAACTCTTTTAAGTTTGGATTGAAACTTTAACATTTGATTAATCTAACAGCCATTAGACCACATTAGACACCACTGTGTCCCTTCTGTCCTGATTCTTTAATGTAAACCTCATTATGACTGGTGGTTCAAAGAGGTCCTGATTTAATATTTGTGTTTTCTTCTGCCTTTGTCAGAGATGAATGTCCATGAGAAGCAGAACTGGGTTGTACGGCGAACACAGTGCTTACTTCTGAGAGTTGATGCCATCGATGGTGCGAATCATCCGTTCATTAAGTTCTTCTTCAAATCTTTTCCTCTGAGATTTGGATCTTGGGGAAAGGGGGCACATGTTTAAATTCTGACAAGGAGAAAAACTATACTTGTTCTGAATCTTGTTAAAACAAATTGTTCACCTCTCTCGTCTCTGGAGGTAGTACTGCCCCATGGGAACATCCTGAAACATGAAACAGACCATGAACGAATGTGACTATAAATACTCTTCACTTTTCATATCTTCAAATGACCTGAGCGGTTGATGTTGTTGGTACAACTGAGAGAAAGCAAGCTTGGGACAAAAGTTCACCAACCGTAGTGTTGATCTTGTCATTGTCTGTGGTCATACTATCTCGATGGTGGAGGTTGGCGAAGGGTTTAGCAGCTCCCCAGGACTCCAGGTATCGGGTCATCCTGACAGACGCCCTCATCTTCCCGCTGTCCAGAGAGGGTCGAGAGCGCACACTTAACAGCGGGCTGTGCCTCTCAGTCTGGGAACAAGAACATAAAAAAGTCAAGTTACTTTATTCCACTTTTGTGAGGAGATGAGTTTAAATGAGCTTCATCCACATACCAGTATATCAGTATATCAAATCAATTCAATTCAAAAATACTTTATTAATCCCAAAGGGAAATTAAATGTTGTTGTAACTCTTTATCCTCATTTCATTAGATGTTATAGCTGATGATAGCTGTAGGCAGGAAGGATCACTTGTAAAGGTCCCGTCCCACAGCGGATCCGAAGAAAATGGCCGCAAATGCCATCCGATACATCCACCCAGCCTCGGTGGGTCTCTCAGTTCCCCTGGGCTGCAGGACCGCCCGAATGCTGGGCAGAACTTCTCCCAGAGCAATGGCCACTCCTCCCAGCAGCCTGCCGAGCTCCTCGTTGCTACGGACATCCGGCTGCAGATGCCAGGGGATGATCCCGGTCCTTCTGTCACGAGCCATGTTTCCTGCTAGTTCCAGGATCTCAGTGGTCAGGCACTCGAGCACAACCAGTAGGGAGATGGGAATGCATCCATGTAGCCTCCTTTTCAACTCAATTGAGATTTGGGGCTGTAGTTGATGTATTATTTGAGCTATTGAGATGTCAATTGGCTGTCCCTGGTTGTAAAAAAAACAACAACTTGTTGTCATGGTTACGCATCGTAAATGTCCAAAACTAAAAAAGTTTCAGTAAAACTCCTTCCAGCTGCACAGCATCCAATACCAGAGGAAACAATCATCCAAAAAAGGTGATTTACATCCAGCAAAAGAGGAATTAAAAGTTTCCAAAAGCAAAATCTCAGAATGAATGTAACAGAGCTGCTCCAACATGCAGCCACCTCAAGTGGCGCAATTCTGGAATGAAAGATATCATCTGCATATCACTTTTCTGACATCTTGTCTGGATGTGCTGCTTATGTCTTAGCACCTGTAGGATTTCTAGTTTTTCTCCTGCAGCTTTTCCAACACCATAGGGAGCCAACAGGATCACAGACCATCCCACTAATGAGCTGCAGGAGTATGGTATATAAGGCAGTTGATGACTTCAATCCAATGCTGGTGCATTATCTACCAATCGGTATTTGTGTTCCTGGCATTGGTATTATTCTTTGTGGTTTGTGAAAACTCTACTTCTCCATGTTGTAGCTCTGACTCCTGCATTCCTCCTGAGCCTTTGACCTCCCTGGTTTCTCCTGAGCCTCCTCATGATCTCTCCATCCATTCCTTGCCTTCCACCACATGCTCACCGGTTGTATGAACCCTCCTGGAACGTCTTCACTCCTCGCTACTAGAACCTTTTGGGAATTCGCCTCTGCGACCACTTTGCCTACCAACAGTAAGAGAGATACTATCAAACCATCCCTCAAGATAAAGCCTCCAGTTAATCTTGTCCCTTGCTCTCCAGGGTTCCAGTCCCACGCTACTGTTAATATATTCTCTTGCTGTAAATAAACACTGTTAAACTTGCTCTTGGTCTTGGAGTCGCTATTCTTAGTTACATACTATCTGGTTATTGAGCTAAACCTTACAGCGCCATTTATCAAACGATCATTTAGAGTTCATAACGGCTCCAGAGCAACAGAATACTTGGTTTAATGTTAATATTATTATGGTTCATCAAGGTAAAGCATAGTTTTCCAAGTGTGTTGAAAACATCAAAAACAAGGACTCCATTTCCATTGGATGATGATCCCACCATATTCTCCTCAACATTTTAGAACGTGTCTGGAACACAACAAAACTCCTTCAGTGTGAAGGCAGTCACGTTGCTGATGTAGCGATGTTTGTGTTGATAATGTTCACATGCAGTAATATTGACTTAGCTTTAAGACTTTGTGAGGAACAGGTGATTAATCTGTTGCTATGAAATAATTGCTTGTATGCATGTGTTTCCAACAGTTAATGGATTTAATGAAAATTTCACATAGGTGTACATCTACAACTGATTCACATTTTATCTGTAGCATGCAAGGTGGCAGGAAGTATACACCCTATCCAGGAATGCTAGATTTGTTATCTACAAGTTAAACCTTAGGACTTAAAGCTGGAGATTTTTTATCATGAGTTAAACATGATAACGAAAAGTCTTCCTTATATAATCAAAAGTAAAAGCCTAAAACATAAGTCAGTTGTTACTTGTATGTTCTGTGGTAACAGTTGTATAGTACACAGATACTCAGTGAGCCTCAACCTAGTGGGTGTACGGTACGGTAAGAATGGGCTGTTTCAGGAACTCTGGTCATTTGACAGCTTTTGACATCTTTGACTTGCTTGTTGGTGTTTTTGCATACTTCAAACCCTTTCACTTATGAATGAAGCAGCTCTTTTGTTTATACACAAGTGTTTCTGAGTGGCAAACAGAACTCCACTTGGGTGAAATGCTGAGGATTCAAGAGGATGACAAGTAGCGTACCTCAGGTGATTTGTTTTAATTGCTCATGGGCTGTGTGTGGGATTGTCACTGACCAAACTCAGCACAGATGCCTTTAGGGGACTGAAACAGACATGGTGGCTCCGGTTATTTCCAGCTCTGACAGTGACAGTTAACGACAGTGAAAGTGGAGATGACTCCTTCTCTGATCCGTGTATCATATTTGGCCTGGATCCATTCACAGCTTGCTGCAAATTAAGACTGAACACCTGCAGCTTTGTCTCAATTTGATCAAATATTGACATGCTGTTTCTGTAAATATTTTTAACATTACATCGTAGGATCTTGCCACATTCTGCAGAGACTCTCATAACATAAAATAATGTTGAAGGAGATTGAAGTTGATATACTACGGTTAAAATATTCAGAGGCCAGTGTAAGGTCTATATATGCATACCGGTTTAGTTGTGACAAACAAGACTAATTTAGGTCCTGTACTCTATATTAATAATAAACTGACTAGAAAACAAAACCAAAACTCAGTGCAGAGCAGTGGAATAAATCATGAAAAACCTATAAACACTGAGGCCCAGATTCATGAACAGCTCAAATTCACATTCAGCACTAAAGCCATTGCAAACTGATATTAGTGCTACACAACAAATGCAATTTGTACATATTGAAAAAAGGTTTTACTCATGCATTTACAAGACACCCTTTCCATGTTTTTGTGAATTACTACTAGAGTTAAAGCAACTCAAAGATCAGTGCTGTTTGCAACACTCATTTTGTGTGAAATATACAATCTCCTGAGAGCTGATTATAACTGTGTTTCAGGAGAAATAACAGAGGACCAGGAGCAGTATGCTGCAGTGCTGCCTTCACAAAAAGAGGCCAAGTAAATAGGGATAGTTATAATTCATCCGCTTTTTTTAATTCAACCTTTATTTATACAGCACTATTCGCATGGGATTAGCTTTACCTTGGGACCACATGCTATTTGTAATAATTACGGAGATTGTCTGTGTTGTTAATCCTATGTGAATCGGCCATGTCAGTAATTTGTAAAGTAATAATTCCCCCACAAATTACCTACTATATTCCTCTGAACTCTGAGGTCCTGTGATAATACTAATCCACTGCGAATAGGCATCTCTGTGATTTGGACAGAAATGCACAGGATCCCATATGTAATGAGGCGTTTTTTGTTTTTGTTTAAGCAAAATCATTTGGAAAAATATACAACAAAGCTATTTTAAATGAATGTGCTGCTCACTTTGACTTAAATTTCACTTTATTTTTTTAATAAAAAAAAAATGTCACTTTGACTTTTATGCTGTTACTTCCTTCACCGCAAATGACAGCAGGTGCGGAGACGCGCGCGTGATCTGCTGACCCATCCACCATCCATTATATTTACTCGCTTCTTCCTTTTAGGGTAGCGGGAGTCAGTGGTGCCCATGTCCAGCCATCACTGTGTGAAAGGTGGGGGACACCCTGGACAGGTCGCAAGTCCATTTCAACCGGCGGGTCAGCGGACGCGCAGCCACTTGCGCACGGCCGGTGACAGGTGACAGCTTAACATGGCCTTTTTTTTACCTCTTAAACTGGCTGGTCAGACCTACCATTTCCTCAACAAGTAGATTAACACAATTTTATATTGTGCATTCTTTAACAAAAAAGGTTGAATCATGTCATCTGGACTTCGTTTTTTTGTTAAAAAGAAACGTTTCGCCCCTCATCCAAGAGGCTTCGTCAGTCTGAGGCCTAGCCATCTGGTATTACCCAGAAGCCACCCTGACTCTTGTGTTTCAAGCCTGCCTCAGATACCCCTGAAGTCTGGCCTTTTCACTAATGGTTTCAAAAACACAAAGTTTGTTTTCTCAGTCATCCAGGTATATAACAACAAAAAAGGTTGAATCATGTCATCTGGACTACGAAGTCCAGATGACATGATGTCAGTCCTCAATGACTACAGACCTGTTGCCCTGACATCCCACATCATGCAGGTCCTAGAGAGACGTCTGCTGACCCACCTGACTAAACAAACAAGCACATATCAGGACCCACTGCAGTTTGCTTATCGGTGTGGACTTGGAGTTGAAGATGCCATCATACACCTGCTTCAGCAAACTCACTGTCATCTAGAAAAGGCAGACAGCACTGTGAGAGTCATGTTCTTTGATTTCTCCAGTGCATTTAACACAATCCAGCCCGATTTGCTTTGTCAGAAACTCCAGAAGACTCAGGTGGAGGCCTCAACAATCACCTGGATCAAAGACTACCTGACAAACAGACCACAGTTTGTGAGACTGAAGGGTTGTGTGTCTAACCAGGTGGTTAGTAGCTCAGGAGCACCACAGGGGACTGTACTCTCACCATTCCTTTTCACTCTGTACACCTCAGATTTCCAGTATAAAACAGACTCCTGTCATCTGCAGAAATATTCTGATGACTCTGCAGTGGTCGGGTGTATCAGAGATGGACAAGAAGCTGAGTACAGGGAACTGGTGGACCGCTTTGTGGCATAGTGTGGAAACAATCATCTCATCTTGAATGTGAACAAAACAATGGAGATGATTGTAGATTTCAGGAGAAACAGGAACAGGTCCAACATTATTTCCATCATGG